GTGACCGACAAAACAGAAAGTTCACTATCGGTCCTCAGGGACAGACGCCGGCCAAACGGACAGTTATCTGGTTCCCGCCAAGGACCGAAGCCAGCCAGACGCACTGCTAGATCTCAGGAACCGACGCTGGCTAAATGGAAAGTTCACTATTGGTCTCTAAGGACCGACGCAGCGCTCAGCCTGCATCTGCACTATGGACGATTTATTAAAAGTTCCTTTAAAATCCCAAGGATTTTACTCCGTCTAACAGAAGCAAAAGTTTTCATGGTAAACAAGTATTTGAAGCCCTGAAGTATGTTTTGACGTTCGCTGTTGTATTAGATTATACCAATGTTGAATGTTTATTCTCGATACAGAGGCCAAACATGAAGGAAATGGAGCTGGTCGTTGACAAAAATTGAAAGCGAAGTGAATTATTACATATTTCAGCAAAAGCCTCTCAAAGCCGTAAAGAAATTAATTTTCTCAAGAAAAGAGCTGTTAGCCATCGTGAAGGCAACATACCATTTCCATCACTATCTGCACGGAAGGGAATTCCTGTTGCTCAATTGTCATGTTTTATCAAACAGGCAGTTTACTTTAAAAAATCCGGAGGGTCAGTTGGCTATGTCTGCAAGAATATGACATATAAATTCGACATCGTCAAGGAACTTCACATAGGAGTTCTGATGCACTTTCAAGAAAAGCTTTTGCAAAGAGGAAAAATATTGCTTTGAAGCCCCAGCGGTCAGACAAACTAACACTTAATCTGCAACATCAGAGCCCGATCCATGAAACAGCGAAGAATGTAAAGAAGTCCAAATGGCATTATCTTGAAACATTACCATTAATGAAATTAATGGAAAATATTAGTGAAAAACCAATATGGCACTAAACAACAGCTTCGTGTTTTACACACATTTGACATATGACATATGACAAGAATATGACATATAAATTCGACATCGTCAAGGAACTTCACATAGGAGTGCTGATGCACTTTCAAGAAAAGCTTTTGCAGAGAGGAAAAATATGGCTTTGAAGCCCCAGCGGTCAGACAAACTAACACCTAATCTGTAACATCAGAGCCCGATCCATGAAACAGCGAAGAATGTAAAGAAGTCCAAATGGCATTATCTTGAAACCTTACCATTAATGAAATTAATGGAAAATATTAGTGAAAAACCAAGATGGCACTAAACAACAGCTTGGTGTTTTACACACATTTAAAATCCTATGACGAAAAGATATTGGGCTTTATGAGATACAGTTCATCTGCAAGATGTGTGCTGCAAATGGTAAGGTTATGACAAAAAGTCTTTTAGATAGCTGTTCATCTTGTAGAGTCCCTAGAGTTCTACCAGATCGTCATTGCAGCCGTACTGAATATCTTTTTGGTGCAATCAATAATCTCCATAAAGTCGGAAACGTGTCTTGTGCTACAAGACCAAAGAACACATAGAAATATGGTGCAAATCCTGTGATGAATGTGGTGCTTGTAAAAACCTACAAACACGTTGACTAGGAAGACTACAGGGCTACAATATACAGCTAAATATAAGAGCACCATTCGAAAGAATTGCTTTGGCTGTTATGAACAACTAATTGCAGCAAGTACTTCCTAACTGTCAGAGATTACTTTAGTAAATGGCCAGAAGTTTATGCCATCCCTGTTCAGGAAGCTTCAACTATCTCAGAAGTCTTAGGAGAAAACTGGATTTTATAACTTTGAAAGCATCTCCTTATCCATTTTGACCACGGAGCAAACTTCATATTTGCCATATTTAATGGACTATATAGAATACTGAGTACGGAAAAGATTCAAACCACTCCTTTGCATCCACAAGCACAAGGTGAAAGAACAATGGCACCTGTGGATTCTCGTAGGTACACTGCGAAAAAAAACAAAAGCGACATTTCTATATCTCTCGTTCTACTGGCCCAATTGTCGAAATTAAAATTGTGTTTTTCATGTCTCAAAAGCGTGACTTAGGATATGTATTAGATTTATATATAGCATTGTTATAATATAGGTATTTTGACACAAAATCGGACTTTTTCTGAAATTACATATCAATTTTTTTCTATATTTCGATTCTACGACTCAAATTATGCCAAACTGCCAAGTTTTGTAAAAATCGCAAGTACTTTCTAAAAAATTAACTCTCACAATTTTAACTCCTCAATCTTAATTCAAATTTGGTATGTATTTATTAGTATCTCTTTTTTTTATTACATCTACTTAATTTATTCTTTCACAGCTCAAAATTTAGATTCATTCCAAGTAAAATTCACCCGTTTCTTATGATTTATTTTTAAAATTTCTATTTTTAAACAATTTTTATAAATTTTTCAAAAAAATTTGAATTATAACCTATAACATTTTTAACATCATCTTAAAGTAGATGTATTTCTAAGCATACCTGCAAAAAACCAAGAATGGTCTCTATAAATAATCTTATACCTTCTTTTAATGAAATGAGCGACTTTAACACCTAAATGGTAGGTGAAAATTCTACGATCACTTGCCAACTAAATATCTGTGACCGCCCAATCCGATTTGTATGTAGCTTTGCTTACATTATCAAGAGTAAGATCTGGCCATCCCCTAGCACGGGTGGTGCAGAAAGTTGTCCGATATTCCCACAGACACAGGTGTTGATTGGAGACAGGTTTCTGTCGTAAAAGTTGTAAGGATTATATTAATTTTATTAACAGTTAAATTGTGAGTTAAACTTCTTTTTCTATTGCTTCTTGATTTCAGATTACCACTTCCGGCCAGAACGCAGTTTTAGAATCACATGTGAATGCTAATGAGGAAGAGCGGTATTTAACCGCGAAGTTCTACTGTCTTAATGAGAGAGATACCAGATATTCCGGCTGCACGCATCCGCCTCTTTAGGCTACGCTCTCGTAAGCTATTATTATGCTCGGCCGTACTTTAGGCCCTTGATAGCTTTGCAGTCAATTAACGTTAAGGGGCCAACTCTGTTAGAATTTTGATAGCTTCGGCTATATCTCTCTAGTTATGATTAGTTTAGTTTGATTCTTAGTCTCTTAAGTTCAAGCCCAAGTGTCGGCTTTATTGTACAACTACAAGACTGAGTTCTGTTAAATCTTATTTGAATAATAAAGGGTCTTTTAATCCCTTCCAAGTTTATTTATGGTCTCACGAACTCAAGCGATTATTCGCTTACTAGTTCTTAAGATTCTTCACTTTTAACTGTACTTAAAATTACACAGGGGGGAGAATCCTACAAAGTAACTGGGGAAAGGCCCATGACCAGTTATAAACAGAACGGAAATGATTCTATCAGCTCTGACATTATAGAAAAATTCCGACGCTCCCTTGCCTTGAGGAATCGATTCCCAGACTTCTTGCCAGTGGGAAATGACATCCATCCTAGTCTTGCATTTAATCAGTTGTTGGAGAGCGGGATTGCTTCGATGTTTTGCGCCGCTTCTTTAGCCAGTGTATCCGCCTCTTCATTTTCTTGGTTTCCAATGTGGGCTTTTATCAGGAGATGGGGAGTGGGTGCCCTGTTGTTGAATATCTGAGAAGTTCCTGTATTTTCCCGATAATATTATTGGTGTGACATGGATTCCTGATTACGAAGATTGCCGATTGGCTGCCATCTGGTAAAGTATCTGGTAAGGTTGAGTTTGGTTGTACTGGCATATAAAACTGCTTGCTTTATAGCTGTGACTTCAACATGGAAAACTGAATTTTCTTCTTGGAGGTGACTTTTTCACTTTGTCAGAGTATCTCCTTGGAGTTTTCCGATGTAGCTGCATCCCAAGTGACAGCTTTCTGTCTTTGAGCCATCAGTGTCGATGTTTACTACATTACGGGTATCATCTATTCCCGGAATGTACTTGGCATGGGCTAGGAAACCTTTCCCATAGTCTTCGGGATGTACTAAGCATTGCAAAAGTTTTTCTTCATAGTCGCTGGGCTGGTATTCCTTTCTTCTATAGGACGCTGTTTGCCTTAGCAAAATTACCCGCGTGGTCGCAACCTCTTGCTCTGCTTTAATGCGAAGTTACTGTGTACCGGCTAGTACTGCAGCGGCCATTGTGGCAGTCGTTCTATACGACTTTGTGATGGCAAGTACATATGGTCGTTGTATACTGTTTAATGTTTTGATTTTTTCGGATGCATATTGTATATTATAAGTACAGCACAAAGTAAACAAAGAGGATTTCTGTGTGCAAAATGTGTAAATTGTTTGTAATGTGCAATTTTGCTCTTTATTTAAGAGCTCTTATTTTATTTATCTGTTGTATCAAGTTATTTATTTAAGTCTGTCTTATATAACGAAGTTATGTACTATATAATCCAGTTATGTCAGTTTTAAACAATTACATTGTTCAGAATCTATTTTGAATTGTCAAGCGTAATATGTTGCAAAGAATATATAGTGTATTAAGTGTAGCATTGAGTTGTAAATGTGCCTTAAGTACAGTGCAATGATCAACGCAATGCATATTATGAAATGTATATTGTAGCAAGTATGTGTAGCAATGTGTTAGCATGCGATGTAGCCAGGAAATGTTTAATTTCGCACGCAGAAAAATCTATATTTTGCCCTTGTATTGTTTTCGGAGTGTAGCTTCAGATAGTTGCGGGATCCGGAAGATACCCGACTAGTCTATGTAAGCCGTCCGGGTGTCCGTACCTGCTCTCACCTGCATAGGAGAGGCTCATATCGCTGCTGCATACGTTGCTATTTTCTCCACGATCGTGCTGTAAAGAATTTTGAGGATATGAGACCGAAGCCCCCAGTCTGTGACTTGCATGGTTCTAAGGTTTTTTGCATTTTCGTGTGTTCTCAGGCGAACTGCTTTAAGGTGTGGAATCTAGGATTGGTTTTCATGGAATGTGATTCCTAGTAATTGCGTTAGACGAAAACCAAACTTGCATAATGAGAATCTACAACTTTTATTAACGCAAAGTGAAGTATTTACGAATGCATAAATTAAAATAACTATTAATGAAAGAAAGGTGTAAAATAAGTTACTTCATAAATAGTGCCACTGTAGTTGCATGCCAGATAATATTCAGATGCACATACAGGACAACAATCTCCAGGAAGTTTGAATTCAGTTTCTCTAAACCCACATGTGATGTCAGGACACTGAGTCTTTTTACACGTTATGAAACCGAACTGAAATGTAAAAGCAACTTTTAACAAAATAAACAATGTAATAAAATAAACAAAATTATTTATTGTTAAGCATTGTTCTTCGTTAAGCCAAATAAATTTAATGCAAAAGAAGATGGTTTGGTTTGGTTTATTTAATTATGGCAAAGCACACTAGGGCTATCTGCCTATGGGGAGGGATGCCTTCGTGGAGGTAAAAGAAAATGAAGAACATCAATGGACACTGGCGTCAATTAAATTCTTCTGTTATTTTTCTTCTTCTCTATTTAATTGCAAAAAATATGAAAATTGTTTTTCCAAATCTTTCCAAACGAAAATAGTAAAGAACAAATTGTCATAAATGGGTCCTTTTCATTTTTAAATGCTTTTGGGGAAAGAATCCTCAACTCAGCTAATAAATAAAAGTGAAAAGAATTATGATTTTACAATTAAAACATAATGCAAAAATTAATAACTTTATACTGAAGTATAAACACATACCTCACACACACAGTGAGTACAAGGGTCACTCTCCTGCTTCCATGAATCTCCATGATTATAAATTTCACCCTTTCGAGACACGCAAACTGTAAAATCAGAACAATAATTGTTCCTTGAACAGTGGAAATACAGTCTGAATCGTTTATTTATAACCAAATTCTTACAGTATTGAATCTTATATAAGGAAATTTTCAAAAACTAACCTTGACATTTCGGACAACATTCTTTGGCTGACCTGATGATTTTATCCGAGGGACAGTTCATGTAAGGGCAAATTTCCTTTGAGCAAGCTAACATAAAATCTTCCTGAAAATAACATTTCAAGAATCACAAACATAACGAAGAGTGCTAAAACGCGGACATTCTTTGTTAAACTTAAAAATAATGAAAATTAATAACATCATTTGCAAAAGGTCAACATAATAAAATTTAGAAACTAAATAATCATCCTTTCCCCATGTCAAGTAAATATACATTATACCATTATACCACCTATATCATATTGTTTTCTGAAATACAGCTTTATTTTAACATGATTATCATTTATGTTGATATGCTTGTTATCTGTAAGAAATCGTAGATTAATTTTCATTGCAAAACATATATTGCAAATTTTTTAGTTCTAAAAATTTTAAAACCACAGTTCTTAATTGTATTTAATTTGAATATCACTTTTAAAATCAGTTTCATTTTCCTAGGAATGAAAAGACTAAATGCTATCCGAATATTCTTAATGTTATTATAATCTGTTCTATCAAAAAGATATTGCGTCTTTTCCTTTTAACTTTACACTTATGACTAAAAATAAGACACAATTCCTGTTTAATCGCACCAAATTAAAAATTAGATAACATGACTATACAAGTTTGCATTTGAAAAATAGAATTTTGGAAGAATTATTATTTATATCGATTGCTTTCAGGGAAATCCAAAGGTATATTCAGAATAGTAAGACTGGTAGATCCTAACCATTTTAAGTAATTGTATTTCCCAACAACATTTTATCTAGACTTAAGAAATACTAAAACTAAAGTAAATTTTCTCTGACTGTGCGCTTTATTTGAATATAATGAGCTGTTTATTCGTACTAGACGATCGGGTTGCTTCGGCCGTACTCGTAAGCAGCAGGTGACTATCCGGGATCAGGTGACATTCAGTTTTCACCTGTTCCCAGGAAGAGCTCGAGTTATTCGGGGTAGTGACTCGCTAGCTCTCATCTGTTCTCCCCGCAGCATAGTATTCATTAGCTTATGGTTAGCTAAAGGCATGCCGTCGTAAGGAATTTCGATTTTCTCATACGTTATATTAGTGATTTCATTTAGTGATTTAATGATTGATATTAGTGATTTCATATACGTATTTTTGACATTTAAATATATAAATAAATGTTTTTATATGATAAAAATATGTATTTTTGATGATATAAATATTTAAAATTTTTTTCTTAATTTTTGTGGAAACCTTTAATTTCAATTCATAAAACTCCAAACCGCAACGAAAACCATTTGCTAAATGCTGCTCTAGCATATTACGCATTAATACTATTGTTATTTTAACCAATCAAAAATTATTTTTTTTAGTACCTAGTCCCTCTTGATAAGCACACAGCACGCTACCGATAGTTATAGAAGATGTGCAATCATAAACGGTATACACAATGCTTGTTTAATTATATATAGGTAAGCGTACGAGAAGCTACTTAGCTAAGAAAAATAATGCCTTTGGTGATGTTTTTCTAACGGAAATTTATTCACATTTACGTAACACACAGGTTAAACAATGAAAACACCCATACAACCATCCCGTTTGTTGGAATTCAAGCTCAGGTCGAACTAACTGTTAGTGTTTATCCAACTGGCTACTTGTTGGCAATACAGTAGATTATCTAAATATTTATACAAAAAGCAAGTACATATATGCGTTTGAGCATAGTTACGTAGATACAACACTTAGGCGTCACATTATAAGGTATTTCTCCCGCCTTCTTAGCATGCCTTCGTGGTGTAATGGTCAGAACGCTTGGCGCGTATTCGAGAGGTCCGTGGTTCAAGTACCGGCGAGGGCATTTTTTCAAGTCTCCCGCTTTTAAATAACCTAATGTCTCTACAACATACATATTTAGCAACTGGATTTGGATTGGATTTAATAGAATATGGCAAAGCACACACGGGTTATCTGTCTAAGAGAAGAGATGACTTCGTGGAAGACTTTCTAAGGGAAATTAACTCGTGTCCACGTTACACATAAAGAAAACCTCGAAAATCTCATGCAACTAGGCCGTTTGTCGGTTTTGAAGCCATGTCGAACTACCTGTGTTAGCGAGTTTGCTGGCTGACCGCTATTGAGCTATTCGTTTAGTAAATACATTTTTCGTATACAGTATTAAGGAGCTCTCATAAATACGCCGTATTATAGTACTGCGAACTGAATTCGAACAAAGCCAAAATACTTACTCTTTGGATTGCAATTTTTAATTACAACCAACTAAAAATTACCCGAAAATTATAAAGTGATTTTAAGGTACTGATATATACACCCATCTTCAAGACAATGGCATATAAATATGTATACAAGTGTAATCTTTTTAAACAGAATAATGCATTTTAAAACTTGATGTTTCTATAAAATTATAAATACAAGTTTTGAAAATGTAATAACGTGGAGTTTGGTAAGTTAGTAAGCGGGGCAAGTCCGTATATCGGTAATTTTTATTAAAACATGAGCAATGTACGTCACACAGAGTTGAAAATGTAATAACGTAAAGTTTGGTAAGTTCGTAAACGGGGCAAGTCCGTATATCGGTAATTTTTATTAAAACATGAGCAAAGTACGTAGTAATCTACTACACGTTAAATACGGGCTTTTGACATAGATATCGCGCAAGAACGAAAATGTTTTTCTCGCTTAAATCAACCAAGCACTTTATAGTAGGCTTGTTAATAAGTCTGCTCTTGCCCCGTTACACATGAAACAAGGTTTCAAGCATTTTTAAGTCAAAGTTTCAGACTTGCCTCATTTTCGGGGAAAGTGCAGAGTAGTTGACGTTTTGTTCAATACACTATGAAAATAAAAATTTACAAAGAAACTTAGAATCTTAGTTAATATTAAATAAAAAGTAGTAACTGTGCAAAGCGTTTGATACCGAGAGCGTTAAGTATTTATATACCAGACTGAAAATACATTTAAAATAAAATTTTACAAAAAAGCAAAGTGAACGTATCCAATTTCAGCTTAAATACATAAATGAATAACGTCAAATCATCGCAAGAACCTGTTTGATTTATTATCTACAAGCTCTTAATGGCATAAAATTGACTGATACATCTAGGTTTCACAAGAAAGAAAATTGATAAGTAAAATAACTGATTGTTAAGATTGATTGTTAAAGAAAAAATATTTTATCATATTCTTTAATAAAAACAAAAGATTAATAAAATCTCTTCTCAAAGTTCATCTTCAATTTTATACGGAATATAAATTTTATGCTCTGTCCGATAGTGCAAATAGTAAGTTTCTGGGATTTTTAGTTTGTTCGAAAAAAAAAAAAAAAGATATGCGCGAAAAAATCCCTTTATAAATTAAATTAAAAAAATATAAATTGAATTTTGAAAAACAAATCGCTTCATCATATGTTGTCATCCACTAACTTTGTGTATATGTTATCGTGAAAGACCGAAATTGGAGAATGTCGACTTTCACCGGAGAATATCAACATTCACCAAAATACGCCGGTGAAAGACCGAATATTTCACTACATTCTTGTATATTCGGACCCTCACCGGTGTATGTCGACAATCACAGATATGCTCTGGTGAAAGTCGAAAAGAGAGGTCATAAAGTGCCATAATAGTTTAAGTTGTTGCAATAAATAAGATTTGAATCACATAATTTAGTAAGATTTTTATTACTGTTATTTTATTTTCTCATTTAGAACGTACTGTATAATTAAGTAAATTTTTAACTTCTATTATTTTCCTTTTTCATTTTGAATGTATTGTGTGTTTAAGGTTCTCATGTTCTTAAGTTCTTATTTCAAGTTTCAAGTGGGTTAAATCGTTTTTGCTCAGAATAAGCAGAATAAGACTAATATCATTGAAAGTGTAAAGAGTTGTTGCTCTAACGTAAAAAGTAAAAAAAAAAAAAAAAAAAAAAAAAAACCTAAATAACATAAAGATAATAAACTGTTTTTAGATAGGAAAGCTTATATGCTTTTATGACAGACATGTGAGGAATTCTGATATATGATGGCAAAGATGACAAAATAAGTTGCCGTCTTTAACAGAGAAGTTTTAGCTTTTCTCTCCAGGATACTATTATATAAGAATTTCTATAACTATGATAAAAGCATGTATAGGCATTACTAAATTAAGTATTTCAAGTTTCAATAAATATTCAGTTTGATAACGTACAACATGTAATATTATATCATTTAAAGAAACCTGGTTCAATGCAGCACAATGGCAAAACTTCCTTCATTTTCCTTTTTTCACATTCGAAACCTTCATTTTCACCGAAAAAAGGAAAATAATATTTACATCTTTCGCTGCATCGTCATCAGGGGGTTGGTGCAACAAAAGAGGTAATTAAATAAAGAGTAGCCTGTTTCTGAACTGACAAAGACACAAATTAAAGTTTACAATTTTAGAATAACCTTAAAGAAATAAGAAACATATAAAAAAATCAAAGTAAATTCTGTCTCTATCAGTTTCACCCCTAGGACTGAAGTGAGCACAAGCAGTGGAAAAATTGTAGCATTAATATAGAGACAAGTTCAAAATGCTTGAGAAATAACAGATCACTTTAAAAAATGAGTAGATCGAATCCAGAGACAAAACTTGCAAAAATAATAATCCATCACTTAAAAAGCAAAACTATATGCAAATTTTTTAATTAAAAAATGAAAAAAAAAAAAAAAAAAAAAAAAAAAAAAACTAAATGCACATTTTGAAAACCTATGAGCCGGGTTCAAAAATAAAAGCAAAATGCATACACATAGAAAAAGTTTAAAAATCTAATATTTTTTTTAAAAATTTCAGTGGATATAGTCCAAAACATATATTTAAAAATGAAGTAATCCAATATATGCAATAATAAAAGAAAAATGAATATTTGATCAAAAAATATAACATAAGGTATAGTAAAAAAGAGAGATAGCGAACTAAGTTCATGATAAAAAATTTAATAAAAAACTTAAGCCCACTAAGCTATAAAAGATTAAGCAGACAAGCAACAAAATTTTCGAAATGATGAAATATATTAATATATTCCTGGACATTAGCAAAGCTTATAATGTATTGAGATAAACTGCGAATTTAAAACTCATAAAACTCAATAAAAATGATTAGAAAAACTTACAGTGTAGAAGTAAATATGAATAATTTGAAAATGAACATTGAATTACCTGGTTTATGAATCTCCAAACCGCCAGTTTAAGTAAAGTATTAATTCGCTTGATTTCAACGAAAAGAAAAATTAGTTGTAATTAGACGAATGGGAAAAGTTTTAGTGTTTAGATAATAATTTTTTAAATTTTAATGCATCCTAAAAACCCTTTTTGGAAAAGAAAAAAAAAAAAAAAAAAAAAAAAAAAAAAAAAAAAAAAAGTTTTTTACCATGAATAAATTAATCAAAAAATTAAAATTGTGGTATAATAAGGTAGGTGTCAAGTAAACTGTAAGAAAAGTTGTAAGCAAACTCAGAGACTGTAAACGAGGAATTTATGAAAAATTTATAAATTATAACTAACCTAGGAAACGAAAGAAGTCGTCAAATGTTACAGAGCATAGAACTCGCTCAGGCGAGCTTTGTTGAGACTTGGAAGTTGAAAATACCTAATCAATTTATTAACCATTGCCTTAAAAGAAGCAGGCGTTAAATACTCACTCCAAATCATTTAACTGATAGGGATATGATAATTTGTTCCTAAACCTGAGAAGGCGGTATAAGTTGGATGACCATCAGTTGAAGGATTTGTACATAGTGTAATTACAAAGCTGTACATAATGTAAAAAGCTAATTGTCTTCAGACTTATGCTGTTACTAAAAAAATGGGCCTATTTCATAATCTTTAGTCTGTCAAATAGCTCTTTGAGAGTGAAAATCCCTTTTTCCCTTTTCTTAATTTCTTCCTCATTACGACACGACAATCAGCCAGAAATTAATTAATTTCCATTCACTAGTATGTTCAAAAATTTTAACAAACGGTTTCACTCAAATAAGAACTCCTAAACATACGTCCCTCAAGCATTCCTAGTCACTCCCTCTCCCATAAATTACTTCACACAAGTTTCACCGACTGAAATAATTCAAAGCCCCCGCTGCTGATAAAGAATTTCGGAAACACAACCCTTCTGAGTAAGACGCGAAGAAAACACTTTGCCCACTTCCCACTAGAAAGAAGTTAATTAATGCTTTTTCTGGCCTTTTATATTTTCATGTACATTCCCTTTTCTTATTATTTATATTTTAAATTAAATTTTTATTCTTTATTTTTATTTTTTTATTTTTTTATTTTGAATTTTATTTTTTTATTTTATTTTTTTATTTATTTTACTTTTTGATTTGTTTTTGCAAAGATTACATTATATTTCTTATATTTCGTAATTTTCTAATGTTTATTTCAATTACTTTGAGTTCTATTTCATAATGCCAATTTCCAATGTTTAGTTTTTTACAAATAGTTTTGAATTTAAATGCATAAACACGAGGGTGTCGGGGAAAAATTACTCAAGTAATTTATCAATTTTACTGCATAAATTGCTTTTCACTCAAAATTGAATTAGTGAAAATGCTTAATCAGAATGAGTTCTTTAGTGCTCTGCATCGGTTCTTGATCCCTTCAATTCACCGGAAATATTTGGCCTAACTTAAATTGCCAGTTTGGCATCGCCTTATTACTTGAGTAAAGGACGAAACACATTCGTATTTATTTCTTAATTATTGTTCATTGAACGGGTGTTGGTTTGTTCCCCTTGAAAAGTCAACTAATTTCCGATCAATGGCAATGATTACTTGCTTTAATTTAATTACTTGCTTTTAATTTAATTTCTTTTTACAATTGAGATTTTGTTATTCATGATTTAATTCAAGTCCCCGTTAAACATTTTTAACAATTTACATTCAAGTTACTTTAAAACAATTTTCGGAATTAAACTTACTAACTATGGATTCACTCTTTTTAGATAATTCTACTAAAATTAATCTTAGGAGATAATATAATCAATATTTCTTTAGTAAATAAATTATATATATATAAATTTGTAAATCTTTTAAAATTTTCGCAGTTAAATTGAATCCGTGATTAAGTAAGATTTGCTTCTTAAAGAACGTAATTAACTTACTGTACATTGGCAGGAAAAGCAAGGGTCATTTGTTGGATGAATGGATAACCCAATCTGGTCGCGAGAACATGACGAATCGAAACCAGCGCAAGTCTCACAGCATTCTCCTTCAGCGGGTGGTCTAATGGATTCTTCAGGGCATCCAATAAGAACGGGACATTCATGTTTGATGCAAACTACTTTCCCGTATTCACAAGTACATATATCACATGGCCGACTGGAAGGGGCGAAAACGTCGCCAGATTTGTAAGTTTTGCCTTCAAATTCACATTCTGAAAGAACATAAAAAATTAAACGCGTTATTTATTTGAAAACTGTGAAAACAACAAGCAGATCAATACAGTGCTCACTTTTACTGTGACTAAAAGGGCAACAAACGCATGCAACAGAAGCTGCATCCTGGCGCTATTAAGGCTATGCAAGAAACCAATTATACGGGTGATTTTCTCGATTTCCCATGTGCAATGAATATATGGGTCATTTTCCAATCATCCCTATATTCATTGCCGAAGAAATTCTTCTTAAAACACCGAACCTATTATTCTCACGAATTCTTATCACCTTGCCGAAGAAATTTATTCCCCAAAACTGATAGACCTCAAGTATTTACCTATAATAAAATTTTTACATCATTTATCTTTTAAAAAAATGAAACAGACTTAAAGTTTTGTTCAATTTTGAATTGAATCAAATACGATACACTTTTGAAATAGATAACGTTATCTTTAGTTCACGCTTGATTAAAAAATAAGAAACAAAAGCAAAACACGGAATAAGATAAAAAGTATTTAATGGATATGCTTGAAATTGATCCAAGTGCTTGATGTGGTATTACTAGACCCCACAGCAAACCATAAAGCAAAGACATACAAAAATATATATATTAGTACCATCACATAGCGAAAGACCAAATGGATCGGAAGAATCTGCAATGGAAAAATCACGCTAATAACGGGTATGATACCCCGTAGATGAAATACAAGCATGACAACGGCGACACAAGTTTGGCAATAGTGACGTTGATTTCTTGTTGTGGCAGTAACGTCCAGTTCTTGTAGTAATGCGTCTCGGAGCTCGTGGAGGTGCCTGGAGGCACACTGTGACCTGCTATCCGTCGTTCCAACATGTCACACACATTCTCTATAGGATTCAGGTCCGGTGATCTAGCAAGCGACGACAGATTTGGAATGGTTTCACTCTCCAGATAACTCCGCACCATCTGAGCTCGATACGGGCGGGTGTTATCGTCCATAAACATCGCGTCGGCACCCATTGCAGCGATAGAAGGACGCATAAGAAGGTGTAGAAGTTGTCGCGATAATCGACAGCTGTGACTTAACCACCAGGAATCACGTAGAAGTCGTTGCGGCCGTTTGTTGTTGTCCCAGCCCATACAATAAGCTTTCTTCTCTGTAATTATCTCTTTCGATGATGTTTGGCATCCGACATCGCGTCCCTGTTTCTCGTCGTATCATTGCGCTTCGGGATTCGTTCTGAATGTTAAATCGAGATTCATTTGTAAAGAGTACTGCTGTAGTGTTCCAACTGTCCACTGCTCTAGTGTTCCAACTACGATGATCAAAGGCCCAATTCAGCCGCGTTCTGACATGCGATGGGGACAAAGGAGCACAAACCACAGGCCGTCGGGCGTACAGTCCACTTTCAAGCAGTCGTTTAGCGAGATTTGGACTATCCTACAACAGCAAAGAGACGGGATGCCAGATATCATGCTGTTAATAACCTCCGGCGACCAGACACACGTCTTCTAGATGTAATTTGGTTCCTTTGGTAACAATTCCACAGCTTATTGATGACACTACGATGTGCATTCAGCTCTCTCGCAACAACGGAATTGCCTTCCACCAGCCTGCAATATCCCGACAACGCTCCAACGCATTTCACCATTCATATGGAGGCCCACCAGCTGAACATTGGTAGTTCGGTCTGAGGTCCGAATCCCGCGAACGGGCTGGCTGCATGGGCGTTGTCGTGGTTTTCCTCATGTGTAACGTGTATACGAGCCAGTTTCCCTTAGAAAGTCCTCCACGCAGGCATCCCTTCCTTTAGGCAGATAGCCCTCGTGTGCTTTGCCATAATTGAATAATACAATCCAATCTATCCATTCATATGGTGCCTTCGGCTCTTGCTTTCCGCTTTGGCTATCTCGGTTTACACGGAACTATCGCTGCTTGCGAACTGATGCATAGGTTAGGCATGCTCCTTTTCCCGGCTTTGTGGTGTGACTGGGGTATCGTGTTTTATGCTAATTTTGGTTGCCTGTTTGCATTAGGCGATGCAACCTCTACCTCATATGTAAATTATATATTTTAATTACCCATTTTACACTCGTACTTTTCCTTTTAGAGTTTGTTGCATATTTTCTGAGCACAAGTGTATTTCTCCTACATCTCTTGTTTTTAGTGTCACATATATGGATAAAGGTTAAAAATCCGAATATGATGGTTTGGCACTTCAGGTGAACGAAAAAGGAAAAAAATGGCTTCAATTTTAATCTTTAAATAAGGAAGTGCATAGTATGTATGAGAAATAAAGATTATTGAAGAAATATAACTTTTTCGTTGAAGGGGTATTACAGTTAAAGAAATTAAATAATGAAGAATCTTCATGAATGTTTCTAGTATTGTGATAAAACAACGGTACCTAAAGCTATCAAAATTTGAATAACGTAATTTTCCATAGAATATGGGCATGTGGAAGCCCTAATTTGAATTTGTTTTACTATCGATTTCCTATTTTGTAAAACTTTAACGGATTTTTGATTAACAAACTAAACGATTATATATAAATTATCTCCAAAGCGTGCGAGTCTATCTATCGGAAATTCTAAAGATACGCTCGTTTTAAAATTATTTTGCGATATTACTGTTAACTGAATTTTACGTTTTAAGTGCGAAGAATATGATATTTAATAAATAAAAGTAACATACAAAATGTTATCTAAAACCCTTCAGATTTTATATTTCTTTTCTTTTTTTTTTCAATTACTTCTGGGTAGTTCTTCAAGCTGGAACCCAATAGCGCAGGCAGCTCAGGCGAGGAAAGGAGTTATTTAACCTCGTTTCATGATAGTTATGTTATTGATAAATTAAATGGGAAATTTCTTATTAATATTAATGCAGAAAATTTAAGGTGTCATGGGAATTCACATTTGTTATACATCATTATTTCATAATATAAAAATACAGAAATTTACTCTGTGAATCTCGGAAAGACAGATAATTGGTTAAAGAAATATATAGCATACATTAGTCATAAAAGAACTGAATACAAAGCAAACATATCTGAAATAAGACTATACTACTTATGCATGGAAAACCATAATTTGACAATAAATGATTCTACAAGTACAGTGACGGGGAACGTGGGCACTGTGCCTCTACCATACTGGTTAATCAGTACAGCACCACGTCCACCATTAACTAAAACAGCCCCAGATGTCAAGACGGGGGCACACTGGCGCCTCGCTGAATTAGTATACATTGATTATATATATAAATACAGTGTCTTATACGTCGTTCAAGATACATATTACATGATTTCCTACGGTAACCTTGATAAGAATTATAATTACACGCACAAATTATAGTTACACATGTCGTTACATTGAAATGATTCTACATAAAATGTGATAACTACACCGAAGAGCCATAACATTATAACCACCCCTCACCTAGAGCAATGAGCTCTCCCGAGACAGAACCAAGCCGCAAGCACGGCTGATGCTGGAATATATAAAGTGCCCATGCACTGATTCCCACGTGTGCAATGATTAACTGCATAATGGAAAAAGCAATTGATTTATCAGATTTTGTAAAAGATCAAATCTTTATAGCTCGGCGCCTGGGGACATCGATTTCAGAAACGGCGGATTTGGTGGTGATGCTCACGTTGCAGTCGTTGTGAGTACTTATCGAAAGTGGTGTATGGATGGTGAAAAGACAAGTCACCGGCCAGCGGTTTGTCAGCTCCAGAGGAGTGCAAAGGTTGTTACGCATTGTTCGCCATGACCGAAGGGCTTTTATAATGGCCGAAATCCTCCAGCAGCTACAACAGTGGTGACCAAGACGGTGCAGAAGACAGAAGCAGCTGAAGACAGCTGCAGCCTACGCAGCCAGTGCCCAAGTCGCGTCTCTGTGCTGATAGTACGTCATCGTCAACAGCACTTGCAATGGGCCAAAGAACAGGGACATTGGACCATAGAAGAATGAAAAAAAAAAAAGTCGCCTGGTTCGACGAAGTTCTGGTCAATCAACATTTAATGGCATGGGCGAATACGCCGATTTCTAACTGAAACCCTGGCACCCGGGTGCACAATTGGCCGGATACAAAGCGGTAGCGGCAGTATTATGGTGTGAGTGATGTTTTCATGAACTATTTTCCACGAGAAAAATAAGCAAATATTTTTATATCACGAAAATAAGGATACAGGAAATGTGCACAGAGCTACAGTATCTGCTGCACTACCTATGCTCAAGGATTCAGAATTCGTATTTCATCATTCAAAATGTATTAATGTATTTCCTGCATCGCCTATATCTAGTGCGTAAGGAAATTTTTATTTATTTTGTTTCTGAAAAATAGCCAGATAATCACAGATCTACGACCAGTTGTTCAAGAAATGTTTAGTCGCGTAGTCGTTTTTAATTTTTTTCAGATTTAACTTAAGATTTGCAAGCAAAATCTTTTTATGCAAAATTAGACTATAATTTCAATATTGTTGTGAAATTGCTCTTCACTTTATTGTGAAATGAAAACATTTACCGGGACATATAGGGCAACAATAACCAGGTACAGGCACAGGCTCAGCACACTCAACAGGACATAAGATATTCGTGCAAGATACAGTGCCTCCAGTGCATCTGCAAGACAGACATGGATCTGTTGTCGATATCCAGGTGGAGTCGCTTGCATATTCCGTCCCTTCATAAACACAGCCTAGAAAGCAGAAATTATGCAAGATTAATAAATCAAACTGCAATTTCCTTCAGTTCTAATATTTTAATACAGTCACAAAGTTAAAACACATCTTATTGCAAAAAAGGATTTCTAATTCAAATAATGCAAAAAATTTTACTCATTTATTCAATAATGTAATTTTTGTGAATTAATCACACTTTATTGTAAATAGTAAACGTAATTTTAGTTAATTAAACACACTTTGTCGTAAGGAGTAATTTACTTCAGTAACACAGAAGATACTTATTTCACTTAAAATTTCAAACCCTATCATTCTTTTTTAACATTCAGTTAAAAGTTTTAAAATTTTAATTCGGAATATCATCAAATTATTAAATCATCCAATATTATTTACTTATTAAGTAACAAAGCATTCGCTCCGATTTAAAAGCCTTCAGTGGGTTTGAGCTAGAAACTTAGAAGTTGACAAGTAATCTCTAGATCAGTTCTTAGCAGCCGAATGGTTTGGTTGTACACGATTTCAGTACTTCATAGAGGACATTTTAAGGGAATCTAGCACCTTTAAGGTTTTCCCTATGTGTAATCTAGCGTTACACATAGGGAAAACCACAAAAAAAAAAAAAAAAATCCCCCGCCGGCAGCCTACATTTGAACCCAGTCTGAACTATCATGTGTTTAGCGATCGTACCGCTCGGCTACTGATGGGTCCGCAAGCAGTGTGAAAGACTGCATCAAAATACTGGTGTACTCATATAGTATTAGAATGGATAAAAGAATTTGACACTTTAGAATATGGCACAACTAACTAAAAAATTTAAAGTACAAATGCAATAAACAAAAGATTCATTATGTATTCTACTAATATGGGGTAATGTAATATGACGTGGAAGGTCGCAGCCGGACTCTTCTGGCAGATTTTACGTCGCCCTACGGTCTTTTTATGGGATGCGGCAGAGCAAGTCAGAAACAACAGCCAACAGCCCCAACAAAAAAAAGTTAGAAAAACATAACGAAAGAGAAATCTTAAAATATAACCAGATGATACTAATATATAGACCTCTGGTACTTCATATTTCACGCATTGATAAAGGAAATCACTGGAAAATCATGCATTTACACACTAATATGAGGTAAACGTTTCCGAAATCTTTAAACTTACCTCGGCATGTTTCGCAACACTGACCAGGAAGGCGAATTCGTAACTGACAGCTAATTTCCGGGCACACTTCTGATGCACAGTAAACATTTCCATCCTAAATAAAATAGCATGTTTAGTGCATGGATAAATATACCAGCGTCAAATACTAAAGCGGGC